ACGGTGCAGGTGGGGGAAATGTGAGGCAGAGCCAAGCCACTGCTGCACATGAACCAAACCCCTGTTACCTCAGATGTCTCCTGTTTCTGCCTCCAGAGCTGCTGCTGCTGCTGTCAGTGTTACAAAACTGGGAGCTGCAGAAGGACTGCAACAACAAACACACACAAACACACACACACACACAAACACACAGAAGCAAGAAGGATGTGATGTTTTCACAGAGGATCTACTTCATGCAGCTGCCCCAGTTAACACGGGAGAGCGGGGAAAAGAGGGGAGGGTGATGAATGCAAAAAAAAAAAAAAAACACCTCACTGACCAGAAAAAATAACCGCACCCTCCTTATTGTGAGCCCCCACCGTCCCATGCACACACAAGCACCCCGATATGTGTAACCTGAATCCACCCCATCACACAGACACGCACCACCGAGCCCCCAGACACCTTGACTGGCCGGCACACAGGCTGCGCCGCCCGCCTCCTCCTCACCGGGTTCAGTCCCGATCCGTGGGTTCGCCCGGTTCCGCCTCACTCAGGACCCTGGACAGCGACGCGGCGGCGCGGCTCCGGGCGGCTCATAATAACCTCGGGGATCTGTGACCTCAGCTGCCGCGTCCCGCAGAAAGACCACCCGGCTCTCTCTCTCCTCCGCCCTTGCTCCAAAAATAAAGAATGTATGTGCAGAATTATCCGAGCAGACACGAACCCTGCGATTTCCTACGACTCTCCACTGTCACGATTTCTGATTTCTAATGAGGAAAAACCAGACATTCAGTTCTCTCTCTCTCTCTCTCTTACACACCTCCACCCAGCTCTCTCTCTCTCTCAGTTTACACCATTGACAATATCGATGATGTCATCCGGAGACTTGCAGAGATGCCCGGATTGTCTTAAAGCCGCCGCGCTGCTGCTGCTGCTGGTTTCTGCATGAGGCGTGGATGAGGCGCACGGAGCCACCAGCACGAATCACAGTGCTCACTGATCATTTTCTACAGTGGAGGAAAATAATGTGCAGGTTATACAGGTCTGTAGAAAAAACCTGCAAGATTCTTTGGTTTCTATTATTCATATTTATTTCCTACTCTTTAAGCAACGTTTCTCCCAAATTCCAAATTGACACTGGAATGAAATGGCTGCCATAGATGCTGATGCAGATTTAAAGCAAATCTGCAGTGCATGGTCTCTTTAGGTTTTTTCTGAGTTGTATATTTAGGCCAGCTTGTAGATGAATCTGTGGATATGAAAAGTTAGTGTACCCTGCCCCTTCTGGTGCTCCTGACAAATATTACTTATCTAATTCATTAATTCATTCCACATATTTGCATTCAGTGAGTTGTCATACTCCAGTGTAGTTCAGATTAGAATTGAATTAGCATGTTTTACCGCCATGTGATTGTAATAATACGAGGTCCCTGTGACCCTTGACTACTGAAATCTGGAAAATTGTTCTTTGGATCAAAATTTGAAAAGGCAGAATTGTGATATCAGGCTCAAGAGGCCAAACACTTGTTTTGTGAGGCCGCCTTGATCTTGACCTTTGACCACCCAAATCAAATCAATCTAAGAGAACAGTTGTGTTAATTTAAAAAGTGTCTCAAGGCATTTTAAAGAAGGTAAAAGACTGATCAATCTGACTTTGACATTTGACCACCACCAAAATTCAACCAGGTCATCGGTGAGTCCAACTGAACCATTGTAACAAACTTGAAACCATTTCCTCAAAGTGTTCTTGAGATATTGCACTAACAAGAACAAAAACATATTTTATGAGATCACAGCGATATTGAGGTTTGACCACCTAATTCTAATCAGTTCATCATAAAGTCCAACTGAACGTTTGAACCAAACTTAAAGAGTTTACCATAAAGGGATAGATCATGGAAAAATGAAAATTGACATATCATACTCACTACTGTGGTGATGGAGGGGTGGGTGAAGGGTTTGAGTCCACAATACACTTTTGGAGTTTAAAGGGTAGACAGCGTTGCAGCCAAATCCAATACAATTTAAGGAACTGGTGATAATTTCAGCCTAAATAACCTCAACCAGAAGTGGGGATGCTAGCGGATGTAGCGAAGCCAACGTGCACGCCCTTGGGTAAGAGCTTGTGTGCAGCGTCGGCTGATTTCTGGTGTGTGTGCGAACACGGCTCTGAGGAGGACATCAGTGAACACTTAGGCTAAAAACGTGATGTTGGTGACGCCATTTTGAGTCACATATGAATGTCGTGGGTTACAGACACTTGGATGACACCACACGAGCTGTATGGAGGCATTTTATGTTTTTTCCTGTTTTATTACATTTGAAATATTTATCACCATTTACTTCAATTGGCTGCAACGCTGTTTTAAGTGTTTTGTGGACTCAAACACTTCACCCACCCCTCCAACAGCATAGTGGTGAGTAGCTAATGAGTGAATTTTCATTTTTTTCTGTGAACTGTCCCCTTAAGGCCTTATTGAGACCAGAAAACCATGAAACAAGTCAGACTGGGATTCGTCATCATAGGTTGCAACAGAACTTTTCTAGCACAGATCACTGGAGGGTGGATTCAGACGAGACTCTTTCAGAAATACACCATAGTCATGGTAGCATACACACACGGCTGCACTGCAGTTCTATTGACTTCACTCTTCCAGAGCACAGGAGTGACGTGTGAATTCATGATAGTTGACATTTGAAACAGCGGCAGAGCATGTGCCATGAATTCCTGACATCCCATAGGTCAGGTGTGAACACTTCGATCGCACACAAACACCAAACCACCACAGATTCAATTCAACCTTTATTATCTTGTTCTTTTCTGCTTTAAATTAATTTCCTCTCCTTTTTGTAACATCTGAAATAAACAAAAACGTCCTGAACAGGAGTGATAATAAAGACTGACTTAATTTAAATTGATACATAATAAACAAACAAACAAACAGTAAAACATATGTAATGTCTTTAACGTGTCTGTAAAACACTGTTCCAGCTCAGCTTGGTATGATAGGATTTGGCATCGCTAATAGAAATGCCTTCAGTTGTTTGCTTCGTCTTAAAAACAAAATATCATTCTCTTATTGCATTTGACAAAGAAAAAACAAACAGGAACAAAATGCTGCTAAAAAACACAACTTAAGAGACGTATGCAATAGTGCCGATGTTTTTGAACCTTTTTAAGCTATCACAACAGTCAGTCAAGCACATAAACGTGTATACATCCATCCATCCATCTATCCACCCTCGTTCACACTCACACACATTTCTCATGAATCTCTCATGGACAAGAAAAAAAAAAAAACATTCAACATTGTAGCAATAACACAGACACTCCTATCATCATCTTCATCATGTCCTCCTCCATTCGGTCATACTGTCAACGCTCCTTTCATGCACACACAGGCAGGCAGGAGGGCACCTTGTACAGCGAGTAAATAAGTGATCATAGTCATCATTAACGTCATGACAATATATAATAATAACCAACTTGATTTCTTGAGTAAGAAAAAATATAATAGCGAGGTCAGTGTTTGAAGGGCAAAAAAAAAAAAAGAAAAAAGAAAAAAAGAGGACATCTCTGGATTTTCCACAAAGTTTCACACGTTTCTCTTTTTCTTTTAAAACAGAAAAAAAAATATGATAAACAACCGACGTACATCAACAAGGAGATACAATTTTGCTTGTCAAATATAAGAGCAGTGTGTAACTGATGAGAAGGTGTGATGCTGCTGTCATGGCGGGCAGGCGGCCGCTGGGTGTTAGCCAAGGCCACTGCTGTTGTAACATTTAAGTCGTCCGGTTAAGGTCTGTGTAGTTGTTGTATTGTAGCTCTGTTTCAAAAATGGAGGGATTTGTGGATGATGTGTCAACAACAAACCCAAAGGCATATAGTGCAAGTTTGGCTAATGTTGTTTTTGTTAGGATTTTTCTTTTTTTTTCTTATTTTTTTTTTAAACCCTGGGTCCCATGTTGATGGCATATTTCCACCAAGATAGAGGCGTCAGTACCAACTAAAAACACTCCTCTTCCACATCTCAAAGGTTGCTGATCATCCGCTTGACTCAGTAGTGTGGTGCCGTCCAAACAATTTTCTACAAACTCCAGATCCTTCCCCCACTCTCACGCTTCCAAACATGAGAACTCAGAAGTACGCCTGCCAGGTCTACGAGGGCTCAGTTTGCAAGTCTGAATTTTGAGATTCAACCATTAAATAGAGTAATACAAAAAGAAAAAGGAAAGAACTGTGGAACACTAAAAACAGCAATAGCTAAACTTGTCGACGACGTGTACGACTCTGGCTGAGCCTGTCTACAGTGCATGCCTGAGTGACTGGGTCTCTGAAAGCAGATGGGATTTGGAGTAAAAAGACAAAGAGCTGTCCAGTTGAGTCCTAAAGAGGATGAATAAATGGATTTCACCTTTTTCCCCCATTTCAAGTTTCACTGTTATCTTCATTTAAAGTTAAGCGGTTTAATGTGTGTGTGAGAATGATATGTGCATGTACTGAATGCATGTATGTTGGGTGACCAGTGTAGCTTGAATTCACGTCATCTCTGCATGTAAGTAAGTGCAGAGTGTGACATATGTGTTACAATGGGTGTGTGTGTGTCAGTCAGACCCTCAGATGGAATCAGCCCCACCGCCCAGCAGGTCCCCTGGAAGCAGCGAGGCGGGGCTACCCATCTGGTGACGATCCTCCAGTGCCGGGGAACCCCAGAGGCTGCTGCTCGGGTACCCAACCCCGCTCATCCCGCCCATTCCCCCCCACAGGCCCTGCCTTCCAGCCTCCACACCTCCGGACCCACCCATCCCGGTCCCGTTGTTGCTCCATTGTGTGAAGATGCCGAGCCCGGGGCCCTGGGCGGTGGACGGGTCCGATGAGCTGCCTGTGCTGTCCAGACTTTGCCACCCGGAGCTGGTGGGCCCTGCTCCCCCATTTCCTGCTCCTCCAGTTGTAGAACCTCCTTCTACCCCGCTGCCGCCTCCTACTCCGCCTCTCTCACAGCTTCCTCCGTTGCTGTTGGCCCCCACCGCGGAGGTCGCTGATGGCCCGGACCCTGCGGAGTTGGCTGCGGTTCCTCCGTTACCTGTTCCTCCAGCCTGGGAATGTGCAATGTAGCGAGCCACATCTTCTTCGCTCACAAACTCTGCCAAGATGGTGGTGTTACCCAGAACGCACCTGGCATAAACAAAACATTTCTCAGTATCTCTTGTTATCATGAGGCGCTGTTTTAATTCTACTTCTTTTAATAGTTGCTACATTTTATTGATGACCATAATGATCTCAGCCAAGATTACATTAGCACAGAATTAAAAAGACTAGGTAAGAAGATACCTCACATTTGCAAGCTTTGTAAAAAAATGTGTTTCTCCCCTAAGAAGTGAACACACTTTAAAGGAATAAAAAAACAACAACCACGTTTACTGATGGTTAGCTCAGCAGTAAGACTTGAAGCAGCAGCAAAAAGCTTGCTTAGCTCTAGTGGGTTAAAAAAATCTGCCTTCCAGCAAAGTAAGATCATTTATTAACACGTTCAATCTTAGAATTGTAAAAACAGACACTATGGTTTCACAGGATGTTTACAGCTGTGCTATTTCTTGGCCAGGACCATTAACATCTCTGTCTCCTGGTTGCCCTGCAACTGGTCCAGACCAGGAAGCAGTCTGGCATGTCACATCTGCAAAACAGCTAATTATAATTCATAGGTTTCAGATGTTGAATGGATTAAATCAACAGGACGGGATTTAATTACTGACCACCCCCTCCTCCTTTCTTTGTGCTATGCTAAGCGAACTGGCTCCTGATTCCAGCCACACATTTATCATACAGACATTAAGAGTGATAATATAAAGACGTTTGAAACAACAGAGGGAGTCTCTTACATGTGGAGTGCACTCTGGGCCTTGGCTGCCTCTTGTTTGGAGCCATAGCGAATAAGAGCTGTGCCCTGGGTCAGGCCAAGGTGAAAAGTCAGCAGGGGGCCGTGCTGCATGCAGATGGTCCTCAGTGTAGAGCCATCGATCTGCATTTATAAGGATGGACAATGTTCAAATGGAAGTGATACTGATGGACTGAGGAAAGAAATTATTTTTCTGCTCATTTCTAGTAAGTGCATAAAGTGAGATTACAAAAGCCTGGTAACATTAACCCATTAATATCTAAGGTGCTAAATAAAACCAGACTCTAAAACCTAAGCATTGTTTAAAAACAACCACCTCAAATCTGAGTTTTCTGAAGAGCTGACAGAATTGACGTTCATAAAAACATTCTTTCTCCACAGTAGTTTCATGGGTTGTATCTGTAACGTGTGTGTGTGTACCTGTGGCGTGAGGTTGCTGAGCACCAACCAGCAGCTTTCCCGAGAGCTGCCGTCACTCCAGGTCGAGCCTGAGGAGAGGAAGGAAAAAAATCTGAGTCAAAGTTTTCCAAATTCCTTGTAAAGACAACCACACTTGTTTTTCCCCTCAGCTTTGCGAATGTAATACATGATGAATAACTTTCTCTGCTGCTTTAACCCAAGCTTGGCTGCCCTTGAATTCATGAATAGATGGACTCTTAAGTTCAAAGGAGCATTATGTTGCATCTCAGCAATCAGAGCCAGTTGTTTTTTTCTCCGAAAAAAGAACATTCAAATAAGTGCTGTATTTTACTGAATGATGAAAATGGACAACCATGTAACCACAACATGAAAAACATGTTAGGGCATTACCAGTGGTGCTGGAGCTTCCGCCCCAGCTCCTGCCAGCCAGTCTCGGGGCTCCTCCTGACCAAGGGGAAGACGATGGCTGCTTTTGACTGATTAGTCCTGGAGGTGGGCGGGAAAGCTGGGTCTGGCTGGTGCCGCGGCTGGCTTTCCAGGACTTGTGTCCGATGGGCTCTGGGGGCCAGCTGGTCTTGTATTCTGTGTACTTTGCTGTGGGGACACAGAAGAGTGAATGAGGGTATGGAAGGGTCACATACAGTAAATATTTTTAATTTGTATGTTAATTCACGTTGCCTTGTAGGATCTGGCAAATGAAACAGATTGAGAAAGATGAAAGAGTTGAAAATTAGTGTAACTGACCACTAATTAAACTAATATTGCAATTGCCTCCTTGTAATATTTAAGGGTTTTATAATCTTATACTTTATTTGAATAGGAGCTTATCACTTGGGTATTGTGTGTGTGTGTGTGTGTGTGTGTGTGTGTTTATGGCATCTACTGCCTTTGGGCAACTCATCTCATGGCCTGTATTTTCCACAAGGGGGCAGATGTCCATTTGTGGTGACACATTGCCCATGCAAATATCATAAGTAGACCGTTTGTATAAGCTACAGGCAGCTTGTTTCTTGATTAGCATAGCTATAGTAAAAGAAACCACATGCAAGGTGGGTTCACAAGAGATGCCAGCAGTTTTAGGAACAGAGATAAAGAAACTCTACTGGAAGTTCTAAAATGACGATGAAATTAATTCGCCTTTAAGTCCTAAAACGGCAATGAAAGAACCTATTTGTGTATCTCGTCGAAGGTTGTGATTGCTCACAGTGTGGGGTTAGTTGTTATTGTGGGTCTAACAGGCAGGAATAATGCATCATGTAATCTTTTCCTCTGGTTTTTCATGTTCATATACCTATAGATCTTATACTACACTGGACACAATTCCCCATCTTTGTGAAGCTTGTTTTAGTGGTGGTGCATGCATCTATCAAGACAAAGCCACACACACCAGCTCAGCACTGAGATGAAGTGTTTGTATTCTCGTGTGGTTACCTGAGTTGTGTGCGTTGTTGAGGGGACTGTCTGAGGCACTGTAGGGCCAGGCACCAGGTGAAGGCAGCAAGGTGTTGAGGGGAGGGGTGGAATCTGCAAACAACGACATCATCAGAATTTACACGTGGAAAGTGAAGCTGCAGATTGTTGCATTCACTTTTGTCCGTACTGTCATAGCAAGGCTCATTTTTGCATCAACATGAGATGGGTATGCAAAAAAGCAGTATCACTACAGATCATGGGTTGGGAGCAAACTAGCCAATAGTTCAGGCAAGACGACCATAGGACACATCCAGGTACAGGGTGGGTAATGTACCTCTTTCTTAAATGGTACATTCTCTCACTCTGTACTGCCCTCTTGTGGATATGTTGCATAACCACTATGCCAACGTAAAGGATGCATGGAAGCATGCAGGTCGAGGCGGTTGGGTTGTTTCAAAACTGACTCATCTCTTTTCAAATGGAAAAACAGCCTTAAATGAGGCTTAAAGCTTTCACCTACTGCTGATACAACATGTAACAGAACCTTGCACAGTGATTGCATGTTTTCTTGAAATGCACCTTGTTCTGTGAACTTATGTACACTTACTGGCCTGGTCTGGTTTAATAAAACGTTAAAGGAACAAAGCTCTTAATCTTTTTTACACATAGTTATTCATGCCCATGTAAAAACATTTCTGTCACTTAAACAAAACATTGTACTTCCTCTACCAATTAACATTCTTTACTTCACTTATCTCAAAATTATTAATTTGTAAGCAAAAAAAAAAAAGCATAACCCCAAGAAGCTTAGAAAAGCAAATAAATAAATAAATGACAGGGTAAACTAGCTGCCGGATAGTGTTGCACGCACCTGTATTGTCTTGTAACAACTGGTGATCAGTATCATTGAGGCTGGAGGAAACTGCATTTGCCATCATGCTCCCTGGGGTCATGTAAGGGTCAGATTCGGGGTCGACGCGGTCAATTCCCTTCCAGGGGACACCAGGCTGGAACTCTAAGGGAGGAACATGCATGAGGCAAGAGTGCAGGTGGAGAATACTGCACCACCATCAACAATTCAACATGGGTCATAACTCAAATACATTCCTCCCGGAAGACAGAAATGTTTTCCTCCCATCATCTTATTGTAAACCCTGTGGGATCTTGTGGCCCAGGTTATCACTTCAACTGTGGCATATCACTAACCAGGTGGCCAGCTGGTTGTGGTCGTTGGCTTGGTGACCATCTTGCCAGGGGTGCGGTGCCAGTTGTCACCCAGGCCGTCAACCATCATGTCGTACTGAGAGTAGGGCGAGCCCCCAGGCATCTTTATGGGGGTGATAGGACCTGGGATGATAATGTGAGTTACATCACTGAACAACAGATGGGTTCACAAATCACCTTAATATGCATCTTCACATCTAATTCCATTAACACTGACTCATGTATTCCATTTCTTCTATATATTCCAAACATAACGTAAAAAAAAAAAAGATGGCTCACCATTTTTATGGAATGCATTCTCAGGTGTGGTTGTGTCTGGAGAAGAGTGTCCCTCCATCATCCATTTGAAGCGGGACTGCTGACCCCCGAGGTCCTTCATGCCACCAGGCCCCCCCATGACAGAACCACCCAGGTCCAGACCTGGGAGATTCACCCCAGAACCAAACCCTGCTCATGGAAAGAGACACAAACAGAGGCAAACATGAATAGGATTATTATGCGTTAACATTTATTTAGTTCAAGAAAACCTTGGATACTACAAAAAAATTACCAATACTGTAAATTATTTAACAGAATATTAAAGTGAACTAGAATTATATGTGATCACAGTCTCCCCTTCTGTTCCTGAGTTAGGGTGTTAAATAATGGCCAGAGAAGTGTTTTCAGAGAACATTATAATGTCACAGCCAAGTTGACCGCTGACCTTTAGGATATAAAATGTTACCACTTTATCCTATTAGACAGTACCTTTTCCCACTAAAATCAATTCAGGTCAAGTTAAGTTGAGTTCAAGTTAACGTTTGACTGTCACCAATTCACAACCCAACCAAATGTGAAATGTGCTCACAATGCAACCATCTGGTCTTGGGATATGCCGTTTAGTAATTTGAGTATTTTCTTTTTACTGAATATAATTTCACAGTAGGAACAATCGCTCACCAGTGTATGGTCCGAGATTTTTGGGGTGCAGGTCCGCCACAGATCCTGACAGGCCTGGGTGGGGAAGGGGATCAGCCACAGGCAGTTTGGGACCCCCCATACCACCTACACCGTGGTGGGAGGGGGAGAGTTTGGAGCTGCCGCCTAGACCTCCGACCTGCTGCTGCTGTCTCTGCTGCTGGAGCACTGCCATGATCCTGGCCAACTAAGATATGAGAAAAAACAAGAGTCAACAGCAGGAAGGTGGATATAAAAGGTAACAAAGAAGTGTGTGATATAAGGGGATTCATTATGTGCGGATGCGTACCTGCTGGGGGTCAGCCTGCTGCCGCACATTTGGCGTAAATTTCCTCTGATTTTGCAGCAGCTGCTGTTGCTGTTGCTGCTGTTGTGGCTGCTGCTGCTGGAGGAGGAGCTGACAAGCCTGAGCAAACAAACGGAAAAAGACAAGAGGAGTGAGATGCAAAGGGAGATAAACATGCAATCTGAGCAATAACTTTCAAGCTTTAAACTATCAACCCCATTTTTTAACTGAATGCTATGTAGAGTCATTCTCCACTAGGAGGTAATCAATACCTAAATATTTGGACAATGACACTCAGCTTTAACAGTTCGTTCTATGAAAATAAATCAATGTTAGAGATGTTGTAGAGATGGAAGATGAATTTGTGTGGTCCTCTCAGACTTACATATAGTAAGTATATGGTTCAAAATCTATTTCAAACTTTTTGACTCCACTGTATATGCACCTTTATAATAATTATGTTGTTAAGACATTCGGACAATGTTTCTAAACCTTTATTTCAAGAATGCATATTTCCTCACTTAATTGCAAGATTTGATCTCAAGGATGTTAGTGTGCTGTTTCTTACCAACTGAAACTGAATGTGCGGTGGGTAGATGCTGCTGAGCATGGCGATGTGCTGGGGGGACAGCTGTGGAGGGAACACACCTCCCCCGACTCCTGCCACTCCTCCTACGCCACCAACACCCCCCACGCTCCCGCTGGGAGGGGGCATCTGCTTCAGCACGGAACCTGGCACCTGGAGACAAGACGCAACGGCAGGCAGGCACACCTGTTACCACAGAGACGCTTTGGTGCCGTAACCATGGGCAACCACATAAACTTAGTGTTGGTCCCCAATCAACTCTTTCATGCTCTCATTAGCTGGTGTTAACAAGTGAGCCTGAGTGAGCGAATGAAATTCATTCAATTCCTGGACAAGACATGCATTTCACTTTATATTCTTTTGAAGTAGATGGCTACGATGAACTATGTCTTCCTGAACAGTGATTATGCAGTCTAGGCAACACACTAATATAGGCCATGCTTAAAGCCAGTGGATCATGTCGTATAAGCTCATTGAAAGAAGAACCAATTACACATTATATCATAAAGTTCAGTAAACAAAGACAAGTCCTTGAAGTATGCGATCTACCCCATGCAAAACCTGGAAAAACTGCATTGAGCCCACATTAAAGGGAATGTGCACATTTTCATGTGGTATTCTCAAATGTGCGACTGAAACAGACAATTGTGCTGTCAGATACAGCCCCTCTGGAACATTTCAGGAAAACACATGTCAGAAAGAAGCTTCAGTAATTTAGGTTTTTTACCAGTTACTAGACACTAAGGACGACCCAGGGTACAACTTTGTTACATTGACAGTCAACCCATAGTGAAGTGTGGAACATGTCAGCAGGTAAAAAAAAATACTGATTAGTAAAGCACCTGCGGTGACAGGAACTGATGAGGCACTTGCGCTCGTATCCCTGGAGACTGGTTTATGGGTGGGACATTTGGCTGATGTCTTGACTGAGCCATCCCTCCACCACCACCGAAGATACTGTGACCGCCCTGTCAGTCAACATGGAAAAGGGTTAGGATCCATAACATACACAGATCAATAGATATAATACAGAAGAATTTGACATCCCAACAGAAAGGGAAAAGTTAGGGACATACATTTTAGTACTATCTTACAAAAAAAGAATATCTAATGTTAAGATGGGAGGACAGAAACAACAGGAGTGGATATCTTACTTGTCTAAAAGGGATAGTATGGTTGAAGAGGGAATGGGGCTTGTAGACAGTGGGTGGTGAGTACAGAGAGCAAGGACCCTCCTCCCCAAGGCACCCATCCTGATTGGTCAAAGGCAAGGTCTGTCACGGAGACAGCCATGGGAAGACCAATTTGAGTGGTGATAAAGGGAGCGGTAGGAGACAAGGAGGAATGGGGCAGACCAGGAAGAAAAGGTAGAATCACAAGAGGAAATAAAGAATAGCGATAGAGGACAAATTGTTATCCAGACAGGAAAAAGACATCAGAGACAGAGACTGAGACTGTAGCCCTGGGGTGTTACCTTGTCATAGTAGGACCCAACATCCCCAGGTGCTGCTTCTTTTGAACCAGGTGGACGATATGGCATCCCCCCTCCTCCTCTTCCTCCCTTCCTCATGTCTCCATTGTAGTCATTCATTCCAATGCCCCTTTTCTCCACCTCCATCTTCTTCTCCTGGAGAGAACCCGGAGCCAGGTCAATGTTTGGGCCACTGGGATCATCGTTCTGTCCAGCAGAAAAGGCCACCATCATGATCATAACCACCCACCAGAAACAGCACCATCATCACCAAGAAGGTTTCAGCACCTGATGAATGCCTGTATGCTGTATTGCTACATCCAATATCAAATCTCAAACGAATGAACCACCATTGTTAAACAGTTCCTGCTTCGAATTATCACAATAAAACTCAAGTAATGAGACAACTTAAATATTTCTTATTTTCTTACCAGCAGCCCCATGTTAGAGAACTGCCTGTTAATGGGGCTCATCCACGAGTCTCCTCCACCAGCCTTTAGTGGACCCTGGGAGACAAACACACAGTTAAAACACAGTTAATGAGCATTCTGTATTTGAGTTCTAAAGGTCAACCATAAAAATTAACAGTGAAATATGCTGTACAAAAGCTTTCAAAACTACAAGGTTTACGTGTAATAAATATTGTTTTTGTCTATTGCAATAGTTTTTTTCCCAGACCAGTGACCAACCTTGTTGTTGGGCTTCTTCCCGGTGTGGCTCTGTCCCCAGCCCCCATTGCTTCCCTGGCCCCAAGATGAGCCGCTTCCCTGGGAGCCAGCGCTGTTCCACATGCCACCTCCCTCCTCCTCATCCTCCCAGCTTGAATGACGCGAGGCTGCCACTGAGGCCTCTTTGTCGCCCCAGCCATCTTGCATAGACTTTGTACCTGCAGAGGGTAGGTTTTGAGTCAATGCCATTAACAGATAAGAAACCAATTTTTACAAAAACTAAATTTATTGTTAATTTCATAACTATTGAGAACCACAATGTCTCAAATGCTAAGTATCATGTCACTTTAAGCCAGCCTGGCACAACCAACACAAAGCTCAAACTATGAGATCATCAAGCCAGATTGAATGGATATTCCACAGACAGCACTTGTGATTCAGTTTGAATTAATTTTCAACTAAATCACAAATGCGTTAACTTTTATTTGACCTTCTTACCGGATTTGATGGGATTGGGAGAAGGGTTTCCCCAGCTTGTCGTCTTCCCGCTAGCATTGTCAGGGTCTCCCCAGCCGGTAGGGGCATCAGTAGTCTTTCCCCATGCTGCTGTGCCATTGTCTACTGTCGGACTAGATGGAGAAGTACCACCCCAACCTGATGGATCTGCAGACACATTTAAGACACAGGTTAAGAGGACAAAATCTGAGATCATTTGACTAAGCACACAACCATTTCCTTCCATTAGATTTGTACATCTTGTCTCAATACATGGAGGCCGCATCTTCACTCTACTTTGCTGCATGCTGACAGGGGTTAGCAGTGATGCAGAGGTTTAAACAATTCATAACAAAGGGCTATAGTTTCTAAATTTTTACCCATAGGTGAAGCTTTTGCAGGTCCATGGCCAGTGTTGAAGTCTCTGTTACCTCCGAGTCCTGGAGCCTGCCTACTAGACTGCTGCTGTATTGGAGGCCCCTGCTGCTGCTGTTGTTGTTGCTGCTGCTGTTGTTGTTGTTGTTGTTGTTGTTGCTGCTGCTGCTGCTGCTGGGCCTGACTTTGTACATGCGGCTGCTGGCCAGCAGGGGCACTGTTCTTATCCCACAAGTTGACTGGCTTGTAGTTGCAATGGGTTGGGTCACCCCATGCTGATGTTCCATCATCAATCTCATTCTTCCTGCTTATGGACTGTGGCGAGGGTTCCTCCCAGCCACTCGGTTCAGACCCACTTCCACCTACTGCGGAACCACCAGGGATGGGCCCTGAGGTCCAGCCTGAGCTTTGGTTCTGATTCTGGGCTTGAGATACGGGTTTCCTTCCCCCACCCCCTTGCATAGCCCCTTGGTCCAATGCTTGCTGCAGCTGTGGATGCTGATTGCGGGACTGTGATTGTTGCTGTTGCAGTTGTGCCTGAGGGCCTGTGATGGAGCCCAACTGGCTGTTTGGCATCTGGTGCATCTTGTTTCCTCCACTCCAATTTTGATTGGGTTTGGACCCCATACCCCCAACAACACCCATACCCCCTCCTCCACTGCCTCCTCCTCCTGTGCCCCCTGCTCCCCAGGTTCTCCGAGGAGCATTATCATCCCAGCTTCCCCAACCACCCCCACCTGTATCCCCACCTGAGTTTCCTCCTGCATTCTTCCTCTCATCCTCCCATCCTCCTCCTCCTCCACTGTTTGATTTGGACTCTTGCTCACCCCAGTCCCTTCCTGCCCCAACCTTCTGTCCTGATCCCCACCCACTTCCTCCTCCATTCCCACCCATGTCTTTCCAACCCCCTGCCCCTTTCTCCTCCCGATTTCCTCCCCAGCCTCCACTCACTGGCTCACCCTGTTGCCCAATATCACCCCATCCTGCTCCATTTCCTCCTCTATTACTGTCTCTCCATTCCTCATTTCCCCAGCCTTTGGCCTCTTTGCCATCCCCAGCCCCCATCCCTTCTCCACCCCAGCCTGTAGTCTTCCCCTGCTGGTTATGTCCTGGTATTACCCCTGACCCCATACCCGAGCCTGCTGTGGTCACTGGCCCAGATTGTGAGACGCCAAGATTCCTCAAGTTGGGGCCTGAAGGTGGTGGGGCTCTCCCAGACAGAGAGGCCCCACTACTGCTACTGTTACTGCTGCTCTCCCAACCCTCTCCAGAGGACCCGGCAGATGGAACCAAGGAAGGATTGACCCCTGGACCAACTGATTCAGTGATTAGGGTCCTTTGTCCACCAGAAAACTGAGAATTACTACCATGTGAAAATGGATGTTTTGATGAAGCTGATGACAATCCACCTTTATTCTGTCTTCCCTGTTCTTCGACATCCCAGGATGTGTTTTGTCGGATCTGTGTTTGGCCCCAGCCTGTGTTGGATAGAACCCGTGGATCCAGATCAGTCCGACTTAGAAGATTCTGTAAGGCAGCTTCAGCATTAGGTGCCTGATGGCGAGGACAATTGTAACGGCTGTTAGGTCCGCTCCCATTTCTGGAGTTTCCGCCGCTGGATGAAGATCCTCCCCGTGCTCCCTGTCCTCCTACTCCCCCGCCCCATTCCCCTGTTTCACCCTCTCCCTTCTGATTGTCCCAGGCTCTGGTCAAAGTGGTGGCCGTTGAGGAGGACGACGARGTGGCAGGGGGGTTGCCAGCTGTGCTACCCCCACTACTGCTGCTGTTACTGCTGCAGGCTTCACTCACTCCCTCACCTACTGGATTAGCTCCCCCAATACCAGTGGAGCTCCCACCCCAATCACCACCAGAAACTCCTCTCTCCCCTCCTCCTCCTGATGACCCCCACCCTCCCTGAGAAACCCCAGAGGTTTGACTACCGTTTCCTCCAGTTCCAGCACTACCCCAAGCATTAACCCCACTACTGGAACTTGAATAACCCCAACCTGAGGTCCCATTATCACCTTCGGCAGCTCCGAATCCCCCTGTGCCACCACCTCCACCCTCCCATCCATCAGTCCTTGAGGCACCCGTTTTGGAGTTAGCTGCAGGGTAAGAAGGCTGGCCTCTCCATGAGGAGGCAATGTTGTGGTCTCCCACACTCATTCCGCATCCTCCCACACCACGGTCCATTCCTCCCCCAATCCCTTCCCCACCTGCGATTTTTGGTCCCGCTGATTCGCTGTCCCACTTCCCCCCTCCCATCTCTCTGTCTCTGGATTGCATTTGGTGAAGTTGGTGCTGATGGGTGCTTGATTGATTCACAGATAAAGGTGGGTGACCCCCCAGCACCCCGACTGCCCCGCCTCCCGGCCCCAGGGAAGCAGAGTTGTTGGCAGACAAAGACCCTCCAGGTCCCTGGTGATGGAAGGAAGACGGACCTCCTTCCCCTGCAGCAGCGGGCCCATCCTGCTGCACAAGGGCAGGCCAGGCCGAAGGGTTGGCATTTGGATTGAAGTTGGCACCTGGAATCCCACTGCTTCCATCAACGGGGCCACTGGTTTCATGGCTCCCTGGCACAGTGGAGGCTTTGGAAATTGAGGAGGGCTGTTGTAGCAGTGGCCCAGCTGTAGCTACTGCACTCCCTCCTCCAAGATGACCCTGGGAGGCAGCCGTCCCCCATGCCACACCATTGGACGACTGCATACATTCATTGGGCAAAGAGAATGAGGAAGTGGGTGAGGAATGGTTGCCAGAGGCACTGATGCTGTTCACAGGCATTCCATTGTTGCTGCTGCCGCCTCCAGCCCTGGTGAATGAAGCTGATCCCCCATCACTGCCAGCGATGCTAGGCCACTCCTCCAGGTTGTTGCCATCGACAATCACCTTCTCCCTGCCCTGAGAGGAGGTCTGGCTGCCTGAGCTTGCCCCCCACATGGAATTTGCATAATTAGAAGTAGTAGTAGAAGCAGCAGCTGATGATGAGGTGAGGGCCAACGAGGAGGCAACCGCACCAGTGTCTGAAAAGGCAAATCCCAGGAGAGAGACTTTAGAGGTCAAACAGGTAAAAATGTTTAAAATAATTGCAGTTGCATCGGTTCTAAACGTGACCTACAGGATTCCTCACACTCACCTGAGACAGCAGCCATGTTTGCATTTGGGCCATCCCCTCCTCCTCCTCCCCCTCCCAGCAGCATGGAGGACAGTGGCGGCTGACCCCTCTTCAGTAGCACTTTATGGTCCTGCTGGCAGCGGAATCGCGGGGGCACTTCTCTCGGCATGTAGCGCGGTTGCTGCTGAGGCGCCTGGGCTCCGCCTCCGCTACTTGTACTGCCGTTTCCAGCAGCACCTGGGCCGCCAGCGGTGGAGGAAGAACTGGTGGTGGAGGTGGGCTGTCCGTTGGCCACCCCCAGGCGCTTGGCATTGTTGCCGCCCTGTGATGGGGTGGCAGCACTGCCAGGGCCTGAGGTGGCTGGGGATGGGGAGGCAGAGGGGGTGGGTCCAGGGCTAGGGGAGGCAGAGCTGCTCTGAGTGGCAGGAGACTGGGCAGACGCCGGCTTGGTCAAGTCTGGCACTGCAAGAAGGGCAAGGCAAAGAAAAGGAGAGGAGAGGAAATTAAGCATAATTTAACAGTATATCCTAAGAGAACAGTAAACAATTAATTTGCTGAAAATGTAAACATATTCAAACAAAGGCAAGATACTACAATAATCCTCTAATGCAGATACTTTAGGCACATGAATGTTGCTTGAACACAAACACCATAAAACTGAAAACATGAATTTTCATAGGAAAGATGAAAGAGGATGAACATTGGTTAACAGCAAACGTCCAGATTTAAACATTCATACAAATATCACTGCACTGCTTACCTTTGTTTTTTTGTTCTGCAACCTAAGATAAACAGGAGAACACATTAGTTTACAAATCATATAAAGAATACAAAAATATAAAGCGCTTGTTTGTGCTTGTCAATGTCAAACCTTAATAAAACTACATAATTTGAGACACAGCAGAAAACATGAGATTTACAAGAATGAAACTGTGATTGTGGTTATATAAAGAAAAAAATCTTGAGTCTAGCTGTGCCAGGATAATAAATATATCATTCCCCACATTCAAGATGGTGTAGTTGTTGAGACTTGCTACGTCCAAAACGTGTTCTGCAAACACTAACAGATGCATTCCAAACGTGGTGTTCTTCGCATCAAAATTAGGAAACTTCAAACACCTACCAGGTCAATGACTTGTTTCAGAATTATATTCAATTCAAACTTTTGTTAACTTATTTAAATCATGTGGATTTCTTTAATATGAGAAAGCTTCATTCTGCCTTCCCACAAAAAAACAACAATTTGAGCAGCTGAATACACAAATGATTGACGTCACGTTTAGCAATAACACAAAACTCACTGTAATGAACATCAATTTTTATAGCTTCAGATAACATGTGACAATGAAATGCAGTGTTTTACAGCTACTTGCGAGGAGAGAGCTCTGTCTTATCTTTTAGTGTTTTATTATTTTGTGCTATGGAAGCTTTGTATCCGGATCAATTCCCACACCTGTGCACAAATAGACCTATGTGCCTTTAGATGAGAAACTTTGTGCTTGCCTGACAATGAAAGCACAAAGATTAGAACTACTCTGGGTAAACAATGCTGATCACAGATTGAGATCATATATTTTTGTTCAACAAAGGTCAACATCTGTTGTAAAGAAAGTGTATTTTTCTTAAATTTTACGATGAAACGCAACATAACACGTGTGTATTACCAACCAACATCTGCCATAAAGGATGTAGATGTGAATTATATCTATCCAATTAGTTTAAGACAATGGACCACCATAGGGCAACAAAATGAACTGCAACAATGCCAATCTCTTAGTTTAAAATTAATTTTACCTGAGTTAAAAGGTTTGAATAACACATCTACATTTACCTTTGACAGATATTGCACGAATTTGTATCCAAGCGAAGCTCTTACACTAGTGTCATAGGACCACTTTCTTTTGATGCAAAAATCGGAAAATATGAATACAGTATAATTTTAACTCTTCCTTAAAATTACACAAAAACACAAAAAAGCAGAACCTACACATATTATCACACAATTGTCCACAAAAGACTCCAAACAAAAGTATGATTTTCATCAATATGTTGGACATGGTGCAGCTGCGTGTTTGGTTCCACAGAGGATTACTCTGTTTTGATATTTGAAAACACAGCATTGACTCATTCGGTTTGTTACATTGTTGGATGACCAAACTAAACTCTATTCAATTTTGTACATATTGCTGACCCGAGAGTATGACTGAGCAGACCCAATCAGCTCAACACGCTTACCTTCTGAGAGGCTTCCCTTTTCCTTTTGTCGTCTTTTTTCCTTTTCTTGTCTTCCATGAACTACTGCTCCTGTCCTGATACTCCTTTCTTCGAGAGGAAAGACGACATAAAAAAAAATCAGACGATCCCATCACCATTTTAAAAATCATTGAGTGCTCCTTTGTCCAAGTAATGTATTTTAACTGCAAGGTACATCACTGCTCCTGTTGACTGCAGCTAAGATCAAGGGGAAAGACAACATCCCAGTTGCTATATGGCTATGTGAGCCTTCATTCATCTATGTGGTTTAGCATCAATGGAGTGCATGCTTGATTGAATTAATCATTGTTGCTGGAGCTAAGAATACTCTTGGATATGTGGGCAACAAACAGTTATTATCCCGATCAGAAGCATGCAGCACACTGTAAGCTGATCACTAGTGGGTTGAACAAATTTAGATGGTTTACAAGAGGTATGACTTCAGACATGCACTGAACTCGACAGTTCCTCTGTATTTTCTCCGGAGGAGGTGCATGTGTGAACGCAAATGTCAGAGTAAGATGCTCCGCAATTTCTGCAGACTTTTCTCCACCGGGCCTCCCTGTATAACGCTCATAGAAATTCAGGAGAACACAGGACCCCGGCTGGATTCACTGCGAGCGAGTGTGCAGATTAACTGCAGATGTAAAAAATGAAAAACAAAATAATGCGAAGCCCCACACTTAGAAGACACAGACGAAGATGTCAAGAGAGTTTGTGTTGATAAGAGCTGACGACAGTGTCTGTGTGTTGTCACGAAAATCACGTGATCTCCTCAGTGGAGTTAATGCGTCGCTTCCTGCCTCTGTCTGCACCCGGCTGCTCCACCTCTTGTCTGAATAATGTGGAGGATTTGTTGCAGTTAAGAAGAGAACCTCCTGCTGCGTTGTGCATGTGTGAAAGGCAAAACTACTCAGCCAATGCTCCAGATTTTACCCACAAGTCATGTCTGAAAACGGCTCTAGTCAGCCAGCTCATCTTGCCAGCAGACTGACTGGATCTGCATGTGGTCAGCTGAAGGTTTGAGACCCATGCTTGTGCTTAAATAACTAAATCCTAACAATGGCTGTGGATCAGGAGGGACAAACAGTGGGCTAATGCTTCTTGGACACAGGCCAGAACTGATAGCTCCTGGTCAGGTAGCCTGGGCCAGGGTGTCTGAAGTTGAAATCCCAAAACACTCAATCACCCCAGGTACTATCACTGTCCGAGTGCACAACAAGATGAATGTTGCAGCCAAGCTGCTTTCAGACATCCACTAAACTCCAGACAATTTACTAAAAATTTCCAGAGAGGCTGTACGTGAGAACACAAATGTCTGAGGGAGTTGCTCTGGACATTTTCTAGAACTTTTTCAGCCAGCCCCTGTGTAAAATTTCCACAAAATGTCAAACTTAGCCGATGTCTGAAAAAAATCCAACCAATCGATTGGGTGTGTTAAGACGTTTCTAATATGCAACAGATGCAAAACTTAAAAAACAAAAAGAATTCAAACATCTCTGGCTGAAAAAGAAGCGCCATACACATAGTCAGCACATAGAGCAGACCAAGATTTGAAAACAACAAGATTCAACAGCTTTGGGTGATTCCGGCTGCCGCCAGTGTTATGTTGTAAAACAGAATGAATACGCCATGTCCTGTCTCTTACATGCTCGCCCCAAGTGCCACCCCTAACAATGTCCTGTTCTGGACATGATCCTGCTGTTGTGAAAGCATTTGAGCAGGTCAATCTCCTGCTGCGTTTTTTCATCTGTGAAAAGGCAAATCCAATTTTCCGGACATTTTCTGGAGTTCATGTCTAATATCAGCTCAAGATGGAGTGTGAGCAAGTCTTCAGGGTTCTACTCTTTGATAGCTGAGAGTCAAGACGTGTGCAATCCAGGAACACCAAATCATGCACTGTCACTAGGATCCTTAATAAAGGATCAGAGCAGACTGGGCAAATCATACTAACATTATGTCTGACAGAGACATTCACTGTTCACTTGGCATTAACAGACTAATAGGCTTAGAAAATGTTGTCACTCAAATGCAATGCAGCCAGGAATGCACTTATTTAAGACAACAGTACAAGATATGGCAACAACCAGAATTCCCACAGGATATTAATCATCATATCACCACAATAAAATGTAAATCGTGTGTTGCTTAAGAGAGCACAATGTTTGTGAACGTCGGTGTGTGTCTTTAGCTGGATTTCGCTCATTGCATTTCCAGGACGCAGGATTCACAGCGTCAAGGAAACGAAACCAACATCCTCCAACCTGAACATTTCTGACCTAAAGCCTGACAGATCAGAAACATGTACCGATTGTTACGAGCTGTCAAATCTGCATTCACCTCTGTCCAGCTACCCTTCAAATCACGACCACTGGCTAGTGTTAGCGTTGTGTTAGCGAGCACCACAGTTCATAGCCAGCTGGTGTCACGGTGTTTTAATATCTGACTTTTCTTGAGCTAAAGCCACAAACGATTGCAAAAAAGGCCCACAGAGCCAGTGGTGGTTAAAGTCGCTGAAACTGATCCGCGTCTGAACGGAAATAGCAAAGCGACAATTTTGATAGCAGCGGCTGATGAAATTTATCGTCGATCGCCAACATCAACGAGTGTCCATACTCGAAAATGCAGAGAAACAGAACAACACGCAAACGATCGACGTGTTAACAACATTAACCTGGTTACCGCTGTTCTTTTAGCAAGTACATCCACAGCTCTGCTAATACACATCCACAGATACTGCAGCATCGGCGCTAACGCTGTCGGACATTAGCTATCCGGGTAAGCTAACTAACCTACTGACAGGCTAACGGCGTTAGCTTGGATAGCGAGCGTTTGCACTTGATTAACGAACAGTTGTGTAGCGGTCATTTCACATGCACACACACATACACATACACACACGACGGCATTGCAAACACCCAGGAGCACACAAGCACACGTCCGGCTACTCACCTTAAGAATCACATATGAAGAAGAGCTAGCGGCGCTAGCTTAGCTAAAGTGCTTCAGTGCGAATTTTTCTTTTCTAGCTTTTTGAGGCATTCGTCGAGGCTACGAGAACAGCGACGCCCGAGCGGAGAAGTCAAGTAAGTGGTGGAAAACACAAGCGCAACGAGCTACCGGTGCGTAAATAAGTACTAACGTTGTAATGGTGTAAACCCGAATGTGCAGAAGAATTTGAATTTCAAAGCGCTGTGGAGTCAGTCAGTTGACGGGCGGCCATTTTGCTGCTCAGTATGAAGCGTCTCCAATGGGCCGCCTGTGGCAGCTGCGTGGAAGCTCTGTGACTGGCTGCTTCCTCTGAGAGGGATGCAGCGTGCGCACACACACACACACACACACAC